TGAAAAACAATCAGAGGTATATAATTTAGCTGATTTGTTTCATCTTGGGTTAAAACCAATGCTTTTCAAATTTCCTACAAAATTATTTTCTGTGATTGAATACATTTAAATAAAGGCATATTACAAATATTGCTTCCAACTTGTTTTTTCAGCTTTTTTAAAAATTGGAACCCAGATTAGAATACTTAAATGTGAAGAGATGATCAGCTGTGTTGTGATTTAAATAAAAATGAAGTCTTAAAAGCAAAAAGTCAGGAGTTACCTTAAATATGAACAATAACCACCACAAAAGGGAATGATGACAGATTTTATTTTACTAATTGGAATGTAGATTTTATTTTACTAATAGGAATGTAACTTGAGACTGCAGTGAATACTATATCTAACACTGTAAATTGCTATTGATATTTTCTATAGAATGTAGTTTATAATTCAATTCTCACCAAATCATTTTAATTCATTAAAAATATAAATATTTTTATTATAAAAGGAAGAAAAATTATGTATTTTTCCTATCTACTATAGTCATTATTTTAATATTCTATGTTCTACAAACAAAAGTAACTCTTGCCAATCAACAGGTAATAGATTATTTAGGTTAAAACTTATGAAATTCTGATATTTGATTGTATTTGAACTACACAAAATGAGTCTCATAGGGTTCAACCAAATATTTAGAAAACCTTAATAATTTGCTTCAATAGCCTTACTCCAACTGATTACCTTAAGCCTCTAGTTCGATATATGTAATTTCAAAAACTTCTCAGGCTTTAAGAGATGCCTATGCTCTGCAACAAGCTACCATGCTCACTAAATTTATATTATCAGTCAGTAATTCTGTTTGCTATTCTGAGAACGCCAAGTAGCAGGTGTCATTCTCCTGAGGAGACAGCATTACGTATTTTACACCGAAATTCTCTGATACATTACCATTCGGTTTACTTCTTCTTCTGTAACCACCTTTGGAATCAGGGGTGGCAAAACCTTGCTTTGGAATCCTTTAAGCATTTTGACTAATCCCATCTGAACAGCCCTCATGGACTCCTCAAGTCTTCTACTTGTCATTTTCAGTTATTTCCTTTGCTTACCTAAGAGTGAAAAAAAGTATTAGAACAAATACAGTTAATTCCTGAATACAGGTCACAATTTTTTTTAAAGCTTTTTCAAATACAGGAAGGTTTAGAAAAATCCTGATCTTCAAAAATACATCAAATGGGGCCGGCCAAGTGGCGCATTGGTTAAGAGCTGGCTTGGGACGCCAGAGGGCCCCAGTTCGGATCCCACATGAGGGCCAGTGACACTGCCCTCTGCAACTTGTCTGTTCCCCTTCCCCCAATTCCCCAGCGCTGTTCCCATCCCCCAATTCCCCAATAAAAATCTTAAAAAAAAAAAATACATTAAATGCTTGGAATAAATGCCTTAACCAAAGGTGTCTATTCCATGTAACTAGTCTAGATTTAGCCTCATCCCAAAGTCTAGGATCTCTTTTATACAAAACAAGTGATTGGAAACGAAGCTCAGGGAAGACATGGAAGTATAAGCAGTCCTTACATTTTGGCACTTTTATCTTCCCCAGATAAACAAATAAACACTGCTCAATAAATGTACTTTATAATTTGCTACTTTATCTGCTTATTTGACAATTGTCTCTCATGACATCCTTCAAACAGAAAAAAATAGGGCTTTAGGCTTTCACAGCTGGGCAGAGAATCAAAACAGGTAGCATGAGATGAGATGGGGAACAGGAAGTTTCTGGAAAAGTATTGAAGTTTATCATCTTAATAAGGCATTAAACAGGCACCCTATATCTCCAAATCAAAGAACTAGAACATCTCTCATTTGCGTATCTCTCTTTATACTTCCAGCAGGACACTTGCAACTTTGGGCAGGGGGGAGAGGAGCATTTATGACTAAGTCATTTCTGTTTTCAGTAATAGCAGGATAGGTTATTCAACCCTGTGCCCCCCCTCAAAAGAAAAACTAACTAAAAAATGCTTGATACAATGGCAAATAAAAAAACCCCTAAAATTATTAAAAAGTTTGCAAGACAATAAGGCATTACCAGACCAAAATGGAGGGGAAAGAGGTGCATAAAGGAAAACAGATTTGAATGAAAATGTAATAAAGTACACTGAAGGCAGTAAAACACTCAAAGAAATGAATATAAAGTTTTTAAGAAGGAAAAAATATCAGAGAACAAATGATTGAACTAGAAGTCAAAGGAGATCCAACATGCCATAATTGGAGGCCATGAAGAAGAAAAATAAAGTACTGGGATGGAACTAATATTTAAAACTATAACCCAAGAAAACTTTCCAGAAATAAGAGGAAATATAATCAAAAGGGACTAGTATGTATCCAGGAAAACTGACCCAGAATAACCAACTCTGAGTCATTATCTTAGGAAAACTATTAGACTTTAAAAAGTTTTTTAAACTCTTCATAGCCTCCAAGCAAAACAGTAAAATAAGTTACAAGGGCAAGAGAATGAGAATTGGACTTTGAAAAAGCAACCTATGAAATGGGAAAACAGAGGAGCAACATTTTCCAAAAACTTTAAAAAGTGTGAGCCAAGAATTTTACATAGAGCAAAGCTATCCTTCAATTATCAAGGCTACAGAAAAGGAGTTCTGAACATGCAAAAATTCAAGAATTATTGTAAAGATGTTCCCTTCCTGTGAAGTCTACTAGAGGATGGTCTTCATCCAACCAAAAGGTGACTGAAGAGCTTCAGCAAAAGGACTAATAATGAGCATTTCATGTATTTAACTGTAGAGCTAAGATTAAAGTGAAATTGAGGACATGAGGAGAAAAATAGAATTTAAACATTATATTTTCTGACAAAACAGAAAGAATGCAATTTTAAAATGAAAGGAAAAAAGAGAAAGAAATCCAAAAGTAGAATAAGCTCATTGATAGTTGTATAGGAAATAGGAAGGAGTCAAACCATTTAATCAGATATTTGAATAAAGGAGGGTTTCGGGAATTATGGTAGACAGCCCTTATGATGACAGTCAGTGATGTTTCCAAGCATTCATGTATTTGTGTAATCCCCTCCCCTTTAGTGTGGACTGTACTTAGGTATTCTTAAAAATATAATACAGCACAAGTAATGGATGCCACTTCTGAGATTAAAGATACTTCGTTCCATCTTGGGCAGTGTCTGGCTCAGTCAGATCACCATCTGTCACATTGTGAGGACACTTAGGAAGGCTATAGAGAGGCACATGTGGTGAGGAACCGAGCCCTGCCAGCAATGACACAAGTAAGCTTGGAAGTGTATCTTCTAAGGCCTGCCAACAACCATGTGAATGAACTTGAAGGCAGATTTATCAGCCCCAGTTGAGCCTTGAAATGATCTGTGTCCTGGCCAATAGCTTGAGTGGGAATGCATGAGAGACACCGAGTAGGAGGCATCCTGCTCAGCCACACCTAGGTTCCTGATCCATAGAAACTATGAGAAAACAAATATTCATTGTTTTAAGCTATTGATATTTGGGTAATTCATTATACAGCAATAGATAACTAATGTAAGTCCTATAAAAGGTTTATATACAAAGAAAACTACTGAACATAAAGATAAGCCTTCCTAAATGCCAAAAGAAATTTTAGAAAAAGCAGAGAAGATATACTAAGCAAAGACAAACAAATCAAATATATACACACAATTATTACAATATAAAATAATATGGCAAGAGACAGCACCAACATGATGAAATAGGTGGTTAACAACGTCAGTCTCCCTCACAAACAGGCTAACTAGAAACTATCCATAGACAGAATGCTTTTGTGAAAATATCTGAAGCACCCCCTTGGGTCCCAGAGACATGGAAAAACCTCAAAAACATTATGCTTATTAAAATAAGTCACTCACAAAAGACCACATATTATATGAGTCCATTCACCTGAAGCGCTAAGAACAGGGAAGTCTCTAGAGAGAAAGTAAATTAATGATAGCTTAGGACTGGGAGATATGAAGGGATGGGGCCGGGGGGGGAGGGTGATACTAAAAAGTAAGGGACTTCTTTTTGAGGTGATGAGAATATTATACAATTAACTGTGTTGATGATTGCACATATTTTGGAATATACTAAAAACTGTTGAATTTTATGTACAATTTAAATGGGTGAATTGTGTGGTATGTGAATTATATCTCAATAAAGTTGTTAAAAATAAATTTTAAAACATTCAGGCAATCAATTCTTAAAAATTGAATCAAACTAAAACAAATGAACCTTGCTGTATATCAAGTTGGAGTCATAACCACAAAGGGAAAACAATTTTTCCAACTGACCCTACAACAAAGTATTGTGACTATATATTGTCAATAGAGAGTAGTCTTATCGTTAGTTATAACATTAGTAATAATATTTTAAAAACAATTAGTTACACCAATATTGTTAGGAAACAAGTATTTCAGCATTTAAAAAAGTATAAAACAAGTAAGTTTTTAAATTAAGAAACCCTATAATCTTACATTTAAATTGAAAATATGTGTGAGCTCATAATTATTTTCTCCTTTTAAACAACCTATCTACTGAAAGAGCCTAGAAGCAGTGAAAGCCCAGTAAGTGATGGCAGTCCAGAGGCATATTGTGGTCTCAAAATACCATCTCCCACTAAAAGGAACCACAGCTCCTTGGAGAAATGGGTAACTCAAGGTCGCGGGCACAGAATGTGTAAGATTAACTTGGAACATTCCATTACACTATAAAATAAGGATGTTATCAAAGGCTGCTGGGGGTATGTCTAAAGGACCCAGAGCAATTTGAAGGAGTTCCCATTCACCAAATATAAAACAATTTGAGCATAAAAAAACAAGTGTGCAATAAGTTAGTCTCTAAAAATCTGAGTTCAAATGATACTAAGAAAAGCATTAGTCACCTTTGGAAGTTGCTAGGGTCCAAACTAATTAGCCGGGAAACGATAAAAGGGAAGAATCAGCCATTTATCCTGCACTTTTTCTGTATAAATTGTGTTGCAAGTTAGCCAAATAGTTGATGAGGGAAAATTATTCTTCATAGAAGAATTCCAGGTAATAAATGCAGAAGAAACGACAGAAAAATAATCACCATTTTATAGCCCCTAATGAAATGAAGGATCATAAATGCTAAAAGCATTACAAAAGATGGTGCTTAAGAACTTTATAACAGCCCAATCAGGCTAACAACACCTGAGCTCTCTAAATCAATCTTAACACTAAAAGAATGAAAACCAGACATATTATGTGCTGCTGACATGGTACACTGCACAGCACCACCTATGCAGAGCTATTAACAAAATCTAAACCTAAATCTAATTAAGCCTCTAGACCTACCAGCCAGGTTGCAGGAGATACAGGGAATGGAGGAACACACATATTCTGTAAGAATATAATTAAGGCAAATCCTGAAGGTGGGAAATGTCATAAGAAAATGACCTAGTTTATTCAACTAATAAACAGCACGAGAGAGAGAGAGGCAGTTATCAGTTAAGAGTCTTATACCAACCAAGTGTAAAGGGTGGACTTTGTTTGGATCATGATTCCAATAAATAAGTAATAGGTAATATAAAATAATTATTGTTCTTTTTTTGTGGGATAATGTACTGTGGATATGATTCTTTTAAAGAAAATTCTTATCTATTAGAGATACTTAGCATTTATAGGTAAAGAGAAATTATGTCTGAGATTTTCTTTAAAATACTCCAGGAAAAAATGTGGGAGGGTGGTGGTGGTGAGTGTGAGTGTGGGAGTGTGAGGGAGAAGGATAGATGAAACAAAAATGGGAGAATGTTGGTAAACTATTGAATCTGGATTACACTATTCTCTCCACTTTTTGCATGCCTTTAAACTTTCATAATTAAAAATATTAATACACTAAATCAATTTTTAAAACTGGCAAGAGGCTTCCATTACTGATAAAATAGAGTAGATATATTTGCTGTATACTGGAAAGTCCCATATACCAGAAGCGATGTGTGGCACAGAGCGTTGTCATGATGGAGGATGATTTATGGCATACTTTAAAACACACCTCTCAACCATAGCTCACATCCAACTGACTGCACATAACAAGTTAAAACTTGTCACACCCTGTTATTAAAGTTT